AAAAAAAAAAAAAAAAAGGAAGTGCTGTCATGCAAATGGGTCTCAGCCGTTTCGCGATGTTGAGGGTTTGTTGGGGTGTTTGGTTGGTTGGTTTTTTGAGGGAAGGGGAAGCCAGATCGGCAGCGCATCGTTTGCTTTTTGTTCTGCAGGCAGGTCGTTTGGCCCAGGCCCAGGCCCGCCGAGACCAGCATGTTCCATTGGATGCTCTGGGGAGTCCTAGGACCCCGCAAGGCTCAAGTGTGAATTCCACTAACCTTGGAGGGAACTTAATCAGTTTCGGTTACCCCTTTCTCCCTTCCCCCCACACTGACCAATACCCGTTTTTTCCCCCTTAGGTTCAGAATACAAATAACGTTAGATTCAAAAACTACAAAAATCTGACTAAAGCACTGACTTGGAAACTTTTAAATTGTTTCTTTCAAGCCCCTTCCATTTTAAGAAATGCATTATGAACAGCAAAATCAGCAAATTAGAAGACGAAATATTTTGGAGGAGTTCTATAGTGATTTCCAATCATTTTGGTGTTGCAGCATTTTGTGACCTTTCTGTCCTCTCTCCCATCAATATGACATATGAATGGAAATAGATTTTACTTGAACTTTAAGACAGATTAGAAACTGAATTGTTAAGAGGAAGAAAGAGCTGGTATTCTCTGGCATAATGCTGCCCTTTACTGAATTTGTTACAGACACAAGCAATAATTATACTAGCTTCCTCTGAGCTATATTAAAAACGGGCTAGAGTAAAAAGACTGTTATCATATAATGGGATGTTTATTCAAAATGTAATACTTTTAAAAAGTAGATCCGCTGGTATAGAAACTTGTATAAGGTTTATTAAGTTTTGGAATGAATCTATTTATGGGTGTGTGCTTTTTTTTTTTTTTTTTTTTTTTTTGCTCTCACTTTTTTGCTCAGGCTGGAGGGCAGTGGCCTGAGCATAACTCACCACAGTCTCTTCCTCCTGGGCTCAGGACACCTTCTGCCTCAGCCTCCTGAGCAGCAATGACTACAGGCTTATACCACCACACCCAGCTAATTTTTTGATTTTTTTTTTTTTGTTGTTTAAATAGAGAGGACATCTTGCTATGTTGTCCAAGCTGGTCTTTAACTCCTGGGTTCAAACAATTCTCCTTCCTTCCTCACCTCTTGGAGTGCTGGTATTACAGGCATGAGCCACCACACCCAGCCAAGAACTGTTCTGTTTAAGAGTTCAGCATACCACTGGGAATGTATATTGGGAGGCTTTAAATGTATAAATTGTGGGCCAGACAGTGGCACACTCACGGCCACTGCAGTCTTGACCTGCTGGACTCAGGTGATCCATCCGCCTCGGCCTTCAAAGTAGCTGGAACCACAGACAAGCACCACCATGCCCAACTAATTTTTTGATTTATTGAAGAGATGAGATCTCACTAAGTTGCCCAGGCTGGTCTCTTGCCTCCACTTCTCCAAGTGCTGGGATTACACATGTGAGCCACCATGCCCGACTCTAAAGCTTTTTATTTTTTTTTAAAGTATTAAATTTTGAATAAATGTCCCATTATATGATAACTCTGTCTCTTACACACACACACACACAAATTTAGTCAGGAGTGGTGGTGCATGGCTAATCCCAGCTATTAGGGAGGCTGAGACAGGATAGCTTGAGCCTAGGAGTTCGATGTTACAGTGAGCTATGATATGTGTCACTGCATTCCAGTCTGGGTGACAGATTAGACCTTTCTCAAAAAAAAACCCAAACCTGCTTTTTATTTTTATTTTTTTATTTTATTTTTGAGTTGGAGTCTCACTCTGTTGCCCAGACTGGAGTGCAGTGGCCGCTCCTGGCCACCGCAGCCTCGACCTGCTGGGCTCCAACGATCCTTCTGCTTCAGCCTTCCAAGTAGCTGGAACCAAGTAATTGGAACCACGCCCGGCTGATTTTTTGATTTATTGTAGAGATGAGGTCTCACCAAGTTGGCCAGGCGGGTCTCGAACCCGCAGGCTCAGGCAATCCACTCACCTCAGCTTCCCAACGTGCGGGATAACAGGCTGAGCCACCAAACCCGACTCCAAACCTGCTTTTTAAAATTGAGTCACTAACCAGGCATGATGTCTCATGCCTGTATTCCCAGCACTTTGGGAGGTGGAGGCAAGAGGAATGCCTGAGTCCAGGGGTTCCAGACCAGCTTAGTCAACATGGCAAGACCTCGTCTCTACAATAAATCAAAAAATGAGCCGAGTGTGGTGGTGTGCACCTGTGTTTCCAGCTACTTGGAAGGCTGAGGTGGACAAATCACCTGAGCCCAGCACGTTGAGACTGCAGTGGCTGTGAACTTGCCACTGCACTGCAGCCTGGGCAACAGAGTGAGACTCCAACTCAGAAATAAATAAGTAAATAAAATCAAATGACTTAAAGTGGCCCAAATAGGTAAAAATCTGGATATCTGTGAAGCTCTAGGTTTAGGTCCCTTTTCAGAGTTGGGGTAGTCCCTTGGTGTTGAGTGATTGCATCAGTAGTGAGTTAGTTCACCAACAAAATAAAGATTTCTTCAGTGCCTACTGTGTTGCTGGCTCAATGCTTAATAAGATCTAGTCATACAGAGAAGCTTATAGTGCTAGAATAATTATATTTTCCCTAATAGTTGACATTTGTAACTGATTGTGATCTGCCTTTTCAGGCTTATGCCAGTTTATATGTTGAATTTAGGAGTGTTTGAGAGAGAAACAAGCCAAAACTAAATTTGGTTTCACCCTGCAAAATGTTTTGGAATAGCCGGGCGTGGTGGCTCAAGCCTGTAATCCCAGCACTTTGGGAGGCCGAGGTGAGAGAATTGCCTGAGCTCAGGGGTTTGAGATCAGCCTGGGCAACTTGGTGAGATCTCGTCTCTTAAAAAAAAAAAAAAAGTTTTGGAATAAATAGAAAAAATACTTCAGTGACCAAGATCAGAGCAGTTGCTATGCAATTAAATTAATAAATAGATCACACAGATAAGTAGATTATCAGATAAATCACATAAAATTGGTAAGGCAGAAATAGAAATTAAGACCAAATGAGGCTTTATCAATCCCGGGTTTTTTGTTTTGTTTTTTTTAAGGGAAGAAAATACTTTTAGAACAGATGTAGATAGAATTTTTCATTTTTGCTTGAAGGAACATTATACCGTTCATGTTCTTACCATTTGATGACTCAGTGGGAAGTGAAGGAACTAGTTTAAACCACAGTGCTATGAAGAGGAAACTATATATGGTAAAATCTATTTCTTAAACACAGCCTTATTGCACAGGGTGAGAGAACTAAGTCACCAAGTCTTAAAATGATTGGCATGGGAGGGGAATTTAGGATTAAAATGATATCAAATAAATAGTTTAGAAAAGAATATTTTCTTTGTATTTTATCACATCATGTTTTAGATTTTTTTAAACACTGATTTTTTTTCCTGACAGGAATAATCAGTTTGTCAGCTTTATATTATTAAAAACTGAGTCTTTTACTTTTTGTTATTATAACTTAATGTTTCACTTTGGAAACAATGTGAAATAATGCAAGTTTTGCTATATTGATGGACTGTCTAATACATGCCCTGTAGGAATGCTGGCACTGGATTCTGTGACAGTATCTGCTTCCAGTAAGCTAGTGCTTCAGCAGAATAAGTTGTTTTATTAACAAGTGATTGGTATCTTTAATTTTAATTAAGAGCCAAATTTATATTTTTTATTTTTTCATAAAGCAGTAATAGTAGCTTACAGTTGTTTTTATGGTTTCAGGGATCTCAATTTTGTCTTTGCTACTTGGCAAACGTTTTGTTCATTAAAATATACTCAGAGAATTCTAAGTTATGAACTACTTATCTGAACGATTATAATCAGAAAACAGAGAGTGCTATGATGATTTGCCTCTTTGTCATGTGGTTGTGTTTGATGTGTGTGTGTGGGGCTCCAAATGAGAAGGGAGGCTCATCAGCCTTAGCAGCTTCCTCCCTGCACCATGATTTGACTGATGTCCCATCCAAGGCTCCTCCCACCTTCAGCTTCTCTTATTTACATTTAGATGCTGAAAATGACCCTTACGTTGATTCCTTTTTCATCCTATGATTTTCAATCAGTAATTCATTCATTCTATAATTTTATTTGAGAACGTTTATTTCAACCTGATAAGTGGATACTTTGCACCATGTCTGTTCATTGCTTGAGGTAATCATAAGAATTTAATATTCAGATAGTATTTACTCCTTTATTTGGGATATTTGTGTAAATTATGACTGACATTAGGCTGGGGATCATGACAAATTTTGTTTATACAGAAATTTGGGTATAGTTGGGATAATGATAGCACTTTACACTACAGAATTCTTTATTCCTAAGAATTTTTAAATTTTGACTTAAGGACAAAAGAGAGTTTGTGATTTGGGAGAGAAGAATGTGAGAGTTTTTTTTTTTTAATTTTGAATATAGTAAAAATACAAGATACTATTTTTTTTCCTCTGAGGTCATTTTTCCTCCAAGTCCTAGACCACATTATAACTATTTCACAAAACATTGAGGAAAATGAGCTGAATTTTATTTTCCGCTCCTTTGGGGTGGGAAGTATCTTCTAGTTCTTCCCATGATCAACTACTGCCAAATGAGGAGGTAGATTTGAGCAAGCAGGTTATCTATTGCATATGCCACCATATCATGCTAACTTCTGCCTTGAAATGTAATTCAGGCCAGGTGCGGTGGTTCACACCTGTCATCCCAGCACTTAGGGAAGGCTGAGGCAGGAGAATTACTTGAGCCCAGGAATTCTAGACCAGCCTGGACAGCATAGTGAAACATCACCTTATAAAAAATTAGCCAGACTTGGTGGCACATGCCTGTAGTCCCAGCTACTTGGGATGCTGAGGTGGAAGGACTGCCTGAGCCGGGGAGGTGGAGGCTGCTGTGAGCCGTGATCATCATGTTCATGCCACTGCACTCTAGCCTGGGTGACAGAGTGAGACTCTGACTCAAAAAAAAAAAAAGAAAGGTAATCCAATAAGAATGTAAGAATTATATTATACTTTTTTTCTTTTTCTTTTTCTTTTCTTTTTTAGTTGGGGTTTTACTCTGTGGTCCAGGTTGGAGTGCAGTGGTACAGTCATGGCTCACCACAGTCCTGACCTCCTGGGTTCAGGTGATCCTTTCACTTCAGTCTCCCAAGTGGCTGACTCTATAGGCCTGTGCCACCACACCCAATTAATTTTTTGATTTTTTGTATAGACCAGATCTGTGTTGCCTAGGTCTATGTTGCCTGGTCTGGAACTCCCCGGCTTAAGCAGATGGGAGCACCTCAGCCTCCCAAAGTAGTGGGATTACAGGCATGAGCCACCACACCCAAACTTGTATTATACTTTAGAAGTGGGTAGCTATACTTGGAAAGTGCCCAGTGGCTTAGTGGTAAACTGACTCGAACTAGAATGTATTGATTTATTTAATTGAGTCTCACTGTGTCACCCAGGCTGGAGTGCAGTGGCATACCCATGGCCAACGCAGCCTCGACCTGCTGGGCTCGGGCAATACTTCCACCTCAGCCTTCCAAGTAGCTGGAACTACAGGCGAGTTCCACCATGCCCAGCTAATTTTTTGATTTATTGTAGATATGTCTTGCCATGTTTCCCAGGCTGGTCTCGAACCCATGAGCTCAGGCAATCCTCTCACCTAGGCCTCTCAGAAAGCTGGGATTACAGGTGTGAGCCATTGCTCTCGGCTAGGTATAGGTTGTGTTGGTTTGGAAGAAAATGTTTTGTGTAGTTTCTAAAATGTATACATGAGGTGAGAGTAGAAATCAGGTGGTATTGGAAATATGGAACTTCCTACTTTTAGACATTTTTCCTAAAAGCTTAAATATGATTGTCATAACTTTAGCATATTTTAAAAGCTCTATTTATAAAAGACAAGTGACATTCTGGATGGCAGAATGTTCTAGGCTATTTATAATTAAATGTGGTTCATCAACATAATTGCCAACAAGGTTGCTGTAGAGATCTCTGAAAATAGCAGTTTTTGTAGGGTGGTCAAAAGTCAGTGGAGTTTAAGACGTTGCTGAGTTTTATCACATCAAACAAAACGGTCATTTGTGCATAGTAGCTTTCTGTCGAGAGGTATATTAGGCCAGTGGCTCAACCTGTAATCCCAGCCCTTTGAAAGGCCGAGGCAAGTGGATTACCTGAGCCTGCGGGTTCAAGACCAGCCTGGGCAACTTGGCAAGCCCTCATCTCTACAATAAATCAAAAATTAACTGGGCATGGTAGTGCACGCCTGTAGTTTCGGCTACTTGGAAGACTCAAAAATAAATAGATAAATAAAAGGGATATATTAATATTTTTTGCCTACCTTTTATTGTCATGTATCACTTAGGTTATCAAAAACAATTTCCTGTTTTTCATCCTTATTTCTTCTAAGAATGTATGGTACCCAGATTTACAGAGCAATGACTTTTTTCTGAATATTAAATAAATAGTTAAAAATAACTGTAGTATCATACTGTAAGGTCAGCAGCAAAGCTTTTAATATTTATTGGTCATTTACTTAGTATGTACCTATTATGTGCCAGACGCTGTTCTAGATACTTGGGACTTATCCGTAAACACAGTATAACTTATACTGATCAGATAAAGTATTACTAAAGAGGGTACAGACTATGATTACATTTCCTTTCTAATAGAACTTCCTTCTCCCGCCCTGAATTTTTTTTTTTTTTTTTTTTTTTTTTTTT